TTCTCCTGGGTTATCAAGGAAGGTCTACCTGTGGAACCTCCCAGAACTAACCCTGAAGAGTTTTCCCCATACAAATGAGTTTCAAACCCTGCAGCCTTTGAAAGTTGCCCTGAACACCAGCAAAGGAGTGGAAGGGACTCTGAGGTAAAGACGGAAATGCCTACCTCTCAGAGATAGGTCATCTCCACATTGTGTATACCTGACCTGACTTTTATAAGTAATGACTTTATACATTTCCTATACACAACCTATCGATATAAACTCCTCTCTCTCTCTCTCTCTCTCTCTCTCTCTCTCTCTCTGTGTGTATGTGTATTTTACTGAAAATAACAATCTTCAACTTTCTTTTCTCACTTAGTATCTCATCTAATGTTTGCAGTTACATTCTTATAGTTATCGTGGTTGTATAGCTTTTCATAGATTGGTTGGACACTCATTGCTTTTAATAACAATTCTAGGTTAATATCAATTTATGATATCTTTATTGATTTATTTTGATATCAAGGACATTTATCCTATGTCATCCATGTATATGGGTAATTTTTAGTTCCCAGGTTTTCATGTGCTCTTTAATGCCATTTCCCTCCCGCCCCACAAAAGGTATCTAAGTTCATTTGTATGGCTAAGCAATTATACTGTTCTCTGTACAAAAACATTTTAGTCATATGCTAGGGGCACAGAACACCATCTCCAGGTTTACCAGGGTAACATTCCCCACCTCGACAGCTACGTGGCCCTAGGGAGCACACACACAGCCTGGGATTTAAGGGGTCCAGGATTTGAGACCCTACCCCGCTGTTCTCAAGGAGTCTCTGACCCTCTCTGACTTTACCTTTGCCTGTAGTACAAAAAATGCCTGCCTCAAAATGGATTTTGCAGGGATTTGACATAACTGGCAACATCATTCTTTATTATCAAAAGAATCAGGAATTCTGAGTGAGACAAATATGCACAACAACTAGCCCTTTGGGTGGATTAGTGTCAGTTAACTGTTGGCTTCCCAACCCCAAGCAGACCTCCTGCCCTTTCACAGGGTTATACTAAGACCGGAGGAGAAACACAACAAAGATGACCACATCCAAGAGTTTCTTGTCAGGGCTGTGTTCTCAGCATCCTGAATCAGCTTAGGTGAGCGCCTCCTCTGGAATCGTGTGCTTGGCCTGGAGGAAGTAAAAGGAGGAAGGTGGGAGATCAGCAGAGCCATGAGCCCTGAGTCTCATCCCCAGGTCACCCAGTCTCCACTCGGCCTGAATACCTGGACCTCACCTTGGGCCAAGTGAGAACCAGTGTGGTCCCAGTGGTTGTCACAAAGTCCCCTGGGGTAGAGAAAAGTCAGATGACATCCATTAGGGCTGCCATTTCCCAATCTATGCAAGGAAAATATGGCTCCACATTTACTGCAACATATGCAGTAGAATGAGCCCTGTGTCAGTGTGTACTGGGAAAACTCCTGAAACCAAAACATCTGTCAATAAAGGAATGAGGCCAACAGAATTGTAAACTTGTTCAAAACAACTAGGTAATTTAATGTGTATGGAGACAGGAATGTTCAGGGTGACAATGAGTGAAATAACCAAGCAAAACAATTACCTGCAAGTTCCCGTTATTCCCTTCTTGGCTCCTGCCAGCTTCTATCTGCATGCCGCCTGACCACTCACTTCTTAGACCACTGGAGGTTCATCCCAGACTGGGTGGTGAAAAAGTGCATCATTCCTGCTGCTCCTGAGAGAAGGTGGTCAAGAAGCTTCAGGAAGGTGTGGGAACTGGGATAGAGAATGTGTTCTGGGTCTCCTTAGGGCTGACGTCCCTCACAAGCAGAGTTATCATTCACGATGCAAAGACTAGGCCAACATGAGCCCTGGGACAGCTGGACACATAGGCAGCCCCACTCCCTCAACAACGTCCTGCTTCCACTGCCACTCAGCAACTACATTCCTTTCATACCCCTACTGTGCCTGCTCCACCCCCCCCCCAGATTGCTTGGCTGATACCTCTACCCCTGCCACAGAGATCACCTTTGGAGAGATTATCTACCAGTTTCGCTAGATTAGGAGGCTTAACCGTACCTCAGAGATGGTTTTATACTCTCATTTCGTCTGTAAAACAGCCCAAGGAGTGGACTGTATAATCCTCATTTTCAGAGGAAGACACTGGGTCACAGAGGGGTCCTATGACTTGACCAAGGTGGCACAGCTAGTGGGTGTTGGGGTCTGGAAGAGAACCCATATTCCGATTCCAGAGCCCATGCCCTTACCACTAGGCTAGACTCCTTGGATCTACCTGATGGCTTTCAGCAATATTGATAAAATCCCAAGGGTTACACAACCACATTCCCACACCCCTGAACCAAGGCTGGGCTGGGAGTGCCACCCAAAACACAGCACTCACTTGGAATTGCTGACAGGGGTAGCAGTGAAAGTCTGGGTGAAGGTACAGATACAAGGTACAATAAGTGAATGTGGTTGAATGTCACTTATATGTCAATGACACTTGGTGGGGGGAGAGGGAAAATAGGTTATGAACAGAACCCTGAGGATTTCTTTCCACTTCAACAACAAACAATACCCCCTTAGAGTTGCACATGCTTGACACACTCACACAGCATTCCCCAGTCAGGATCTTACATGATACTCATGCTGAAGGGGACAAAAGTTCCTGGGAATCGAGGTGTCAGGAATTGGGAGAGCAACAATAGGAGCGATCTGCTCTCAGAGACAGGAATGTTACTATGTGCAGACTCTGTGACAGCCACTCCACAAGTTCATTTGATTCAATTTTCACAGCTGCCCAAGAGATGGATATTATTGGGCCCCTTCTGCAAATGAGGAAAATGAGAGGTTAGGTAATAGGCCCAAGTTTGAAAGGTAAGGATTTAGGGTGAGAACCATCAAACCCCACAGCCTGTTTCCCTAACACCCTGGCACCCAAGGTAGGAATGAAAAACATGCAGGTGTTGGGCTGGGGGCCCACTGGTTGGGTGCTGGTTGAAGGTTTGTCACCTGTGTGAACTCAGTCTGAGCTGGGCATAGGGAACGAGGCAGCCACAGGGGCAGGCGACCATCCCCAGAAGGAGTAGAGGGTCAAGTCCCAGGTCAGCATGAAGCTGAGGGTCTGCGGTCCCCTCTTGTGATCACCGCCTTCCCTCCTGATGGTCCCAGTGCACCTGTGTCTGCCTCAGTCTGTTCCTTGCCTGAGGGATTATATTCGTTGTCGGGCTACCCATGGATCCTCTGAAGGGCCGGTTTGGATGATGTGACATGTGTGGGGGTGGGGAGGGAACAGTGCCTCTGAGAAGCCTCTCCATCTGTCTCCTCAAACACCTCTGCTCTCTGACTTCCATTCCTGCCTCAGGAAGTCCTCTGCTCCCTGGCAGTCTCCCACTTCTGGCCCCCTGACTCAGGGAACCCTGGTTTGTCTCAAGGAGGGCCCAGCTCCTGGCATTGGGTCGGAGGAATGGATGTCATGATGGCAGCCCCCCAAGACCTCAGCCCTCAGCATGGGCAGGAAAAGCCACTATGGCATCCTGGAATTGGAGGAGGGGACACATTTGGTTCAAGGAAAAGAGGGTCCCTCTCAGAACAAGGGAGGGAAGCACCATCTCAGCAGGGAGTAGGAAGGCCTGTCTCAGCATGAAGCCCTGGGGTTGAGGGCCCTTCTCAGTCCCAGGCACCATCACCTGGCCCAAAGTGGTCACTCTGGTTCTGGAGAGGAGATGGAGCCCCGCTTCCTGGAACACACTCATGGGAAGGCATGTGTCTTAGTCTGTTCGGGCTGCTATAACAAAATACTACCAAGTTGGTATCTGATAAATGACAGTAATTTTCTGCTATCCACTTTGTAGGCTGGAAAGTCTAGATCAAGTCACCAGCATGGTCGCTTTCTTGTGAGGGCCCTCTTCCTGGTTCATTCCTGGCATCGTTCTGCTGTGTCCTCACATGGTACAAGGTGTTAGGGATCTCTCTGGAGCCTTTTATATAATGGTACTCATTCCATTCAGGAAGGTTGCACCCTCATGACCTTAGCACCTCCCAAAAAAACACCTCTTGATACTATCGTCTTTGGGTGTCAGGATTTCAACAAATGAATGCGGTGAGGTGGGGGACACAATCAGAACATAGCAGTATGTTAGGGAAAGCTAAGTGCAGAAGGGTAAGAAACAGACCCCAGACCAGGAAAACAGGTAAGCAGGTCACAGGAAGGAAAGGAGACCTCTAAGCACAGGTGAGAGAGAGAGTAGAGAAGTCAGGGCACATGGTCCTCCTCATAGCTGCTGCCTCCTGCAGATGGGCACTGTCAGGTAGCTCATGCTCCCAGGGGCAGAGGTCCCCAGGAAAGGTGTCACAGATTCCCTTCTAGCCACAGCTCCCTCACTTTGTCCAGCTCTCAGGCTGACGTCTGCTGAGAAATATGGGGAGGAAGCTGGAAACGAGTCCCAGGGAAAGAGAGACATGTGGGCCCCTGCACCCCCAGCCCCCACTTTTCCACGCAGGTACCTTCTCCTGCCTCCTGTCATCACTGATAAACACTACCACCCACCGTCAACCCCAACTTTGATCTGGCTCCCTCTTCCCACCTCATTCTTGGAGAGCTTCAGGATCTTGACTGTGAGGACCATCTGTATAATGTCAGACAGGCCATCCAGCCTGTACAGTTTGTTGTTGATCGAGTTCAAGGACAACAGCTTTTTGTGAGAAGGAGTTAGAGTGACAGTTACTATCTAGGGCCTCAGAAACAAGTCTTCCCTCCACACCATTCGTAGCATCCTCTACCATAAAAACAGCATTGGGCATAAGGCCTCACATCAGGGGGAACTCTTTTCAATGATCTTCAGGGTGGCAGCCATGCATTTTCTTCAATTCAGGATTATATCAATATCATGGCCCACCAAGTCTTCAACAATCTGAGAAGAGGCAATAGGAAGGCTGAGAGGGGTCCAGGGCCAGTACCAACCCCTCCCCACATTGTCATCCTTTAAGTCTCCCTCCCAGGCAGATCCCTGCCCTAGCATTACTGCTGTCAACTGTACCTGGGTCAAAGCAGAGCCTCTGGAGGTCAAGAGTTTGCTGGGAGACATCATAGTGTTTGTTCATGGTCAGCTGCAGAGAGAGATGGAGAGAGCCACTGTGAGGCTCTGGTGGGGATAGGGAAATCGGGGGCTGGAGGAAGAAGAGGTAGGTCTGGGTGTGAACACACAATGGGCCTTGAGTCTGCATTACCTTTAGATGTTCCATTTCTTCTGGTTCCAACTCATACCACACAGAGTAGGGTACAGCAGAATGACTGACAAAGAGATATCTACAGAAAGGAGGGGTGGGGTAAGCACTAGGAACTCTCATTCTAAAGAAGACAGCTAACCCCTGGCCTGTCCTCCTTCCCCAGGACTAGGTACAGGTAATGTCCTTGACACAAACCTTCTGGTTCTCCTCGTTACACATCTTAGAGCTGACACCCTTCAATGCAGAGGCAGTGTCAGCATCCTGGACAAAGTTCTAGGCCTGTGTTTTCACATAGTGGAACTACAGGTGGCAGAAGCAACAGAAAAAGTACTGGAGAACCAGCTCTCCCCCTTCCCTGTGCCCACTCCTCTGGCTTCAGCATTCTCTTATACATCAAAAGGGGTGAAGGGTACACTGCAATGGCTCAGGATTGAAATCAGTAGCCATGTATTGTCATACTTTCTTCCATAGGGCATGTAGGGGGTAAAAGAGAGGATAGGAGAGAAGAGTGGCAACATGGAATTAAGACTAGAGAACAGATCCTTTTCCAACCACCTACTGAGCTTGAAAAGAAAGTGCTAAAAAAAAAAGGATCATTGACATAATTTCATATTTTGTACCAAATATGGATTTCTTTATTTTTATTGTTTTATTTATTTATTTATTTATTTATTTTTTGAGAGAGAGAGAGAGAGAGAAAGCATGCTCAAGTGGATCAGGGGCAGAGAGAGGGGGACAGAGGATGCAAAGCCGGCTCTGTGCTGACAGTAGTAAGCCCGATGTAGGGTTTGAACTCGTGAACTGTGAGGTCATGACCTGAGCCAAAGTTGGACACTCAACTGACATTAGCCACCCAGGTGCTCCCCCAAATAGGGATTTATTAAATTCCCTTTCTCTCCATTCAAAGCTCTCCTCAAAATAAACACTTAAGATATTAGACGTGATCTTCCTTTTATAAATTTCCAGGAGATTCTACCTCATGAAGACCCTGCTTGCCCCTCAGATAAAGTGTCCAGAGACTCGACCTCCATCTCCCGCACTCATCTTGAGCCAAGCTGAGACATCCAGTGGAAAGTTGCTCCATCGCCTTTGGTGCAGTTTTCACCTTTGCTTTTAGCCATCCTCTACTCTTATCCCTTTACATCATTTCTCTGAACCTACCCTTAGGTGACCGAGGCAGATAACTCCTAGAAGAAAGAGAAAGAAAGAAAAAAGAAAGAAAGAAAGAAAGAAAGAAAGAAAGAAAGAAAGAAAGAGACACGTTACAAATCTCACCTGTTCCCAGCAAAATAATCTAGCATCTCTACACAAGACCATCACAGCTGCCCTGACCCGTCTCTCCTGCACATTCCATATGTCTTGCCAGAACTGTGATCTTGAACCTACTCCCATGGTTCCATCTTGCCCATTCACCCTCATTTATCTCCATGGAGTAATTCTTTCTTTCCTTATGTCCACATTAGCATGGACAAAACTTTAATAATGCCCCTGGCCCCTCCTACGGTACAGTTCGTTGGCCTAGTGGATGCTGTGGGGAAATGGAGAGAAAGAAGAAATCCATGAGTTCTAAAAATGATTTCTACACTTTTGCCCCACGAATACCAAGACTACCATTAAGGTTGCTCAACCATTAATTAACGCCTACACTCTGTCATGTTGTAGGAAAAAAAAAAGATATAGTTAACTACAGGGTTACGTATTCCACTGCCTAGTACAAATCAACCATGATGACTGATCACTTAACATTGTTAAAGAAGAGACAAGAGGCCCCAAATGGAGTCACTAATGCTAAGCTTGTGTCACCTAATTTCAGGTGATTACACCTAATACAGGTCACCTCATTGACTTAATACCTAACCTAATTGCAGTTTCAGCCTCTCTCAGGAATGTAATCTTAACTAGTCAGTCTGGCATCTCCTGGTCAGTACTAGTGAGGTAATCTGCTTAATAGGCCCCTGCCATCCCCCAAAAGGAAGGTCACCTTGTCTGAAACAATCCACTATTTGTCAGTAATTTCCTTGTCCTGTTGCTTTCTTCCTATAAAGGTCTTCCATTTTGACCAGCTCTTAGGAACTTCTTTCCATTTGCTAGATGGCATGCTGCCTAATTCATGGATTGTTGAATAAATCCAATAATATCTTTAAAATTTACTCACTTGAATTTATTTTTAACACTATCTTATTTGGGGTTGTACATAAGTATCATCCATTGCTGCTTCTCCCTCTTGTTCATGGATTCATGAAGATGAATGCCAGAAATGCCATGTTTATATCAGCTTTCATACTTCCTTGGGAAACACCCAGGTATCTAGGTCCTCTTTGAAAGGAATGATGTCTATCAATGTACTCTGAAATCAGGAAGAACGGTATAAAAACAGCAAAATTAAAACCAAATCAAGGTAGAAAACACATCAATGGCCTGAATAACAGAGAAAAGTCCTGTGATAACTTTTATAGGTAATGAAGAAATATCGTTGACTTTTTTCATCAAAAAAAAATATAACAAAAACATGCTTAAAGTTTGGAAACCTCCACTGTGGATCTGCTTCCTGGAAGATGAGAGGTAGGGAGCATCCTCAGCCCGGGAGAGAACAGGCACACAAAGAAGGGTTGGGCAGAGGCTCCATTCTGAGATCTTAGTTCCTGCTCTGACATTTCCAGGCTGGGTGACCTGGCACAAGTTAATTACTGTCTATAACCCCCTACTCCAACCTGAGCTCTAAAGCAATAACAGAATCTACCCTGACTGTGTGGTGCTATGTTTCAAGAGTCAAAGGCAAGTTACCCACCTGGATGGAGAATTCTATAAACAAACAATTAGTCTGAAGAAATACCCTGCATTAAGCCTGGTGAGACAAAATGATGGAGGATCCTGAAAGAGAAAGGACAAGAGTTGAAGGTGTCGTAGAAAATAATAACAACGTATGTTCAATTGGTCCCAGATAAAAAGGAAATGCAACAGTACAGAAGATATATTTAAATAAATGATAGTTGGGAAGTTTAAAAAGTGACCAAAGACATTGATTCACAGATTCACGAAGTCACAGATTCACGAAGCTCTGTGTTTGTCAAGCCTACAGGGGTATGAGGAAAACCAAACCTAGGCCTTATTGATTATCTCAAAAGAAAGGAAAGGAAAAGGAAATTAGAGCAGGTAAAAATAAATATAAAGCAAATATTAGGATGACATGTTTAAGCCAAATTATGTATGTTAATGCCATTACACGTAAGCAGATGAAATATTCCAAATCGAAAGGCAAACATCAGGCTAGATAAAAATTCCGTCAAATGCACCTTAAAAGAGACACATGTAAAGTTTATTGATACATAAAATTAGGGGAAATGGCAATTTAAACATTAACCAACAGAAATCTAGTATACCCATCTTAATTGGGTATGCTACTATACCCATCTTAATTGGTCTTTTTGCCCCTCCTGCTACAAAGCTCCGAAAATTCTTGGAATATTCTATGTTGAAAATGATAAATCTGTCTTTTTTATGTTAGTGAGATGACTTTTGGAAAACACCTAAGGTTGGGGGTTGGTTGCCAGAAGAATCCACCATGAGATTAGAGGGTTAGAACTTTCAGTCCTACTTCCCTGACCTCTAGGGAAGGCAAGGGGCTGGAGACTGAGTCCAATCACCGATGGCCAATAATTTAATCCTGACCATGTAATTAAGCCTCCATGAAACACCCCAAAGGACCGGGTTCAGAGATTCCAGGTTGGTAAACCGGAATGCCTCCATGTGCCACTGTGTCGTGCCCCAAACCTCACGGGGACAGAAGCTTCTCCATTTGGGGCCTCACCCCATGTATCCCTTCATCTGGCTGTCAATTCCTATTCTTTAATATCCTTTGTAATAAACCAGTGATGTAGTGAATAAACAAGTTTCCCGAGTTCTGTAAGCCTCTCTAGCTAATTAATCGAACCCAAGGAAGAGGTTGTGGGAACCTCTGACTTATAGCCAGAGTGTCAGAAGCACAGGTAACAACTTGGACTCGAGATTAGCATCTAAAGTACAGGGCAGCCTTGTGGGAATGAGCCCTTAACCTGTGGAATCTGATGCCATCTCCAGGCAGATGGTGTCAGAATTGAGTTACCTTATAAAACACCCAGCTTGTGTAGGAGACTTGCTTGAATATGTGTGGGGGGAAACCCACACATTGGAATTGGGTACAGTATATTAACACCTAAAACTGACAGAAGTAAATGGAAAAATGGACAAATCCACTATCACAACTGGGAATTTTAACACATCTCACTGAGTGATAGCTAAAACAGGGAAACAAAAATTCAGTTAGATGAATTAGATTTAAACAATGTTAGTAACAAGTGCTTGCTTCAGCAGCACATATACTAAAATTGAAATGATACAGAGAAGATTAGCATGTCCCCTGAACAAGGATGACACTCAAATTTGTGAAGCATTCTGTATATTTTTTAAAAATGTTATTAACCAATTTATTTACTTAACTGACATGAAACGTGGCAGAATAATTCACATGCTGGGGCATAAAGGAAGCCTTGGGAAACTTCCAAGAGCATAATGCAATCTAGCCTGAGTGGTTGGTGTGAAGATTCAAGGATAATGTTGGGTTCTCTGCCACTCTCCTACCTTTACATCAATCGCAAGAACATTAATCTCCAACAACCCCCTGGCTCCAAAAGACCCTCTCCACATACCAAACCCAGACCTGAGAGGAGCACATGACTCTGGCCTTTACCCTCAACTAGATGTCTTAAAATATACCTGAGATTTGCTGTAATCAGGTACAGTGAGATGGCAGACATGGAGCCAATGTCCTTGAAAGAAGAGTTTATTACCTACAGGTCCCAAGAGGAGGGGACATACAATAACACTCAGGGCCACGCGAGGAAGCTCCTGGTGGAGCTGTCAGGTGGCAGACAGAATGAGGGGAAAACATGAACCAGAATCTTTATTCTGGTTTTATGGAAAGGAACGGGAGAAGCAGGATCAGTATGCTGAGTAAAACTTTGGATTGAAAAGTTGGAATAATTTTGGTGGGCTCTGAGTGATAAGGGTGGCCCCTAGTTGTCCAGTGTCTGGACTTGGGGTGATTTAGGGAAAGGAGAATATTGGACTGGGGTGTGAGAGTTTGATAAAGGAGGTGGCTGGGGGTGTAGGCTCTGGATTTGCTGGTTTACATATCAAAACCATGCTCATAGGCAAGTTGATTGCTAGCTCAAGGAATTAGCTCACCCTAGGAGACCCAGTTCCTCACCAGGTCCACAGGCTCTTGTGGTATCAAACCATCAGAAAATATAGTTAATAGAAAACATGATGAATATACCGAGGGTAAGATTTCACCTCAGTCATAACCATAGCCATAGGAGGAGAGGTTTTCCATGTAGAACTAGGATAGGTGTGTCATGGCCCATTGGGGTCATGTCCTCAGAAGAAAGTAAAACACTCAGCCTGGGCACTTGCCACCTCCCATCCAAAGGGGGATTACTGGGTTCCTGTTGGATGGAGTTGGAGAGGGGGTCCAGAACCCTCCTGGCCTGTGGGGTCCTGAGACTGAGGACCAGCACTGACCAATCCACCCATGGAGTGACCTGCAGGCAGTGACCCATCACCAATGTATTCACAGGGCGCTTATGAGGGTCTGAGGCTGGAGGTTTGGAGAAGATCCAGGAGGGCTGCTGAGGAAGGCAAGAGCAGACCCCAAACCACTTTGTCAGGGCCACACAAACAAGATGGAGTCCTGATAGGAAAACCCTTCCCCAGGGGCATAAGGAAGAGAGTGCTGGCAGCCAGAAACACACACACACACACACACACACACACACACACACCTTCCAGTTCTTACTTCCCCCTGAGTTTTGTGACCAGCCTAATGCCCCAGGAGCTATTTCCAACTGCACCACTCTTACACAGGAGGCCAACCAGAGTCCAGGAAGCCTAAGACCCAAGTACTTGTAACTGCAAATATAGGAGATTCTGTGGCCTACTATATAACATGATGTTCCTTCATTTTTCCTCAAAAGGGGATTCTGACCACATAGTCACCAGCTCCTTGCCTTTGCTGAGGTTGCTGAGTTTTAGCTACAGGAGTTTCTCTGGGGCCATTCAGATACTACAGAGAAATCGAGACCAGAACTGAGCTCCATGAGATACGATAACGCTGCCATGCATAGCTGCAACTAACTCTTTCTGCAATACAGTTGACCCTTGAACACAGGGTTCAACTGCACAGGTCCATTTATAAGAATATTTCTTTTTTACACTTCAGTCCTATAAATGTATTTTCTCTTCTTTACGATTTTCTTCATAACATTTTCTTTTCTCCATCTTACTTTCTTATAAGAATACAGTATATAGGGGCACTTGAGTAGCTCAGTCAATTAAGTGTCTGACAGTTGATTTCAGCTCAGGTCATGATCTCACAGTTCATGGGATCAAGCCCTGTGTTGAGCTCTGTGCTGACAGCACAGAGCCTACTTGGGATTCTCTCCCTCTCTCTCTCTCCTTCCCCTCCCCAGTGCTCTGTCTGTCTGTCTCTCTCTCTGAAAATAATTAAATACTTTTTAAATATTTTTTAACACTTATTGATTTTTTGAGAGACAGAGAGAGACAGAGAATGAGTGGTAAAGGGGCAGAGAGAGAGACACACAGAATCCAAAGCAGGCTCCAGGCTCTGAGCTGTCAGCACAGAGCCCAATGCGAGGCTTGAACTCACGAACTGTGGGATCATGACCTGAGCCGAAGCCGGACGCTCAACAGACTGAGCCACCCAGGCGCCCCATAAATATTTTTTTTTTAAATAAACTATATAATACATATACAAAATATGTGTTGATTGACTAGTTATGTTATCAGTAAGGCTTCCAGTCAGCAGTAGGCTATTAGCAGTTAAGTTTTGGGGGGAGTAAAAGTTATACGTACATTTTCAACTCTAAGGGGGAAGGGGGTCAGCGCCCCTAACTTCCACATTGTTCAAGGGACAACTGTATATGAGGTTTTCTGAAATAAGTGTAAAGTAACAGAAACATTTCAAAATAGCCACATGGCAGGAAATAACTCCAGCACATTCCAAAGAGGTTACACACAAAACAGCTGGAGGGTCTAAAGGAAACAGCAAACATTTGGTGGGTCACTATGAGGAGAATAGGAAGAAAAGATTGGTTTTTCCTTTTAAAAATGTAGTTTTTCCCTTTAAAAATGGCAGAGAAGTGGGGGAACGGAGATTTTCCTCATCCCTCAAACACAGCCATATTGAGGTCAGATCACTTGGGACACCCAGAAAATTGATCTGCAGAG